TTGGCCACCCTTCAATTCAAACAGAGGACATTGCCAAGATAACAGAGATGAAACCAGAAGTGTATCTTAAGTGTGGAACCTCAAAAGGAATAAAATGACAGTTAAAACAGAAAATTGCTTGGCATCATGGTGAAGTGGTGAGGAAGGGAGAGAGAGATCCAGTCACAGCAATGACATAGGGTAATTTCAGTGAAGCTGAGTGATGTTCAGTAGTACCCAAGAGATGATCACTGTTGGAAACAGTGGATAATATTCTGCTCCCATTTAATCTAGTGGGCTGCAAGTGATTCCTTTGAAATCAGTGAGTTTAGATGCAAGCTGTTAAAAGCCAGTGGTTGTCCATTCAGTAGTTTCATCAGAACATTTCATCAGAAATAATGCACAACCTTGTAGCAATTAATAAAAGGAAAGCTAAATGGATTCACAGTCAGTTTATGAAATAAAAAGTGCTTTAGTGATCAGGTTATGTGTGTGGTTGGGCTGTGTCTCTGCCCGAAAATCCTTCCTTCACCAAGAACTTCAGAAGCTGGAAGGTGACTGCAGCCAATTTAACAGAACTGCAGCTGGTAAATAAGATGCTTAGACACGTCTGTGCACATGCATGCACAATCTTACCTTTGTTTTCTTTCACTCTGCCTTTCACAGAAAAGCCTTACGCAGTGGGATGTCATTGCATCTAAAATTATTTAATTCTATATGGAACTTACTGGCTGTGATAAAAGGCAAAATTTCGTGACTCGTGACTAACTGCTGCAGCTTGAGGAATATGGAAACACCTTTTCTTTGACAAGACTTACTTTTACTGACTTAATTACCAGTTGCTCAATATCACATCAAGAAGTCTGGGATGAAAGTCCTCTCTGTAACAGCTGACAAAACCAGGTAAAGCCAGGAAGATGTGTGCACTGGGAGCAGTTCCAGCCGTTTGATGTTTGGCTGTGAGGATAATTAGACTTTCAGCAGGTTTTTGCCTCGTGCTGCGTTTTACCCTGGGACTCTGTAATTTTAACTTTCCTCAGCTCAGGTGACCAGGGAGGGGGATATTGTTCAGCCCCAACTTTGACTCTTGGGGACAATGCTGTGTTCTCACTCAGAGCATCCCTCTGAGCAAGTAGCTTTCTCAGGAGTATAGTCTTTACATGACTTTTTTTTTCCAGCATCCCTTTGTGTGGCAGCACTGGGCCCATAATTAGCATCCCAAAATCCAGAGCAGGAAAAGAAGACATTTTTAGTGTCTCTTAGTAACAGAGTTGTAATTCATATAAATTACTGAGTAAACGCATTCATCTGCTGAAGGTTAGGCACGTTAAGTCACTGCTGATGCAATTCAAATAAACACACATTCAAGGAAATACCTGTGGTTTATCTGTAAAAGAGAGGACAGCGTGGCATGACATTCTGGTAAGGAGGGAGAAAACAGTCTGACTGTTGGTGCTTGATCTCTCTGTGGGCTGAGAGCACAGTGTGAAAGCAATGCATTATTTCTTCCTTCTGGCTTTTTCTTAGACTTTTAAACATGTTTTAAACACCACATTTCTACATGGCAATTACGATATGTGTGAGTGACTGCAAGGGCTCCAGACAGACGTTCTTGCGATGGCATCACCAACCAGCATCCGCTCCCACCTGCTCTGTCCTGGTCTGCCACTGTCCTCAGATAGCACCACCCTCCACCCTGGCTGGGGTATGAACCATCTGGGCCCTAAAAATGAGCTGTGGCACACGGAGTTCTGTAGTACCTACAGCACCTTGCAAACCTGTCTTATATGCCTGGTAGGAAAACACATATCCAGCTGTGCCCTTCTCTCATCAGATGCTGATGTGCAAAGAGAAAGAAATGCTGTTTTTAAATAAAGAACAAAGAAGCAAACCTAACCCAAGCTTACTCCATATGAATTTTTAGTTTCATTTACACTTCATTATACTGTGACAAATGTTTCCTTGAAAGCACCTTTGAGTAATTGTTTAATAAACTTTGTTTAGAAAAGTATCAATTCTGTACATTCCATTTGTTCTGAAAAAGCCTGATTGCATTTCAACACTTCTCTGTTAGTCCTCTGCCATTACAATTTTACAAGATATTTAGTTTATTTTTAAAGAAATTCACTAGTGCTGTAAAGTTTATTTTCATCTGAATTTAATTTCACACATTAGCAATGTTCTTCTATTTTATTTATTCATGCAAAAGTTCTATTAAGGATAATTCTCTAAATGTAATTATGTTTATTTGTCTTTTTTTTAAAATAATATTTCATCTCTTAAAACTATATATAAAACCATAGGATCATTTATGTTGGAAAAGACCTCTAAGATCATCAAGTCCAACCATTAACTCAGCACTGCCGAGTCTACCACTAAACCACGTCCCCAGGTGCCACATCTACACATTTTTTAAATGTCTCTAGGGATGGTGATTCCACCACTTTCCTGGGCAGCCTGTTCCAGTGCTTGGCAACCTTTTCATTGAAGAAATTGCTCCTAATATCAAATCTAACCTGCCCTGGTGCAACTTGAGGCCATTTCCTCTTGTTCTATCACTTGTAATACATATAAACATATACTTATTCCCATTTGTAGTACTTTCTTTCAGAAAATATATTTAAAATTGCAAATAATTCCTGCCCTTTGTAACATTCTTTAATTTTTCTTATCAATATTTTGCTAAGATTGGTACTAACACCACAAAACTTCCTGAAAAGAACGAGCATTAAACTTTATGAGCATTCACTTTTGCTGTTTTCAGTAAGAATGTTTTGTATATTTGTTTGTCTAAAGCAGGGAACACTTTCTTTTGAAGTTTCTGACATTGTAAAACTTTTATGATTTCAAGCATATTCTTAGGGGAGAAAAAGGAGAAAAACTGGAAAAAAAGGAGGCATGAAAATTGTGAAACTATGAAGGGATGAGAGGCATGAAGTCCAGGTGGTTTTTTTTGTTATCTGTATGTTAGATATATCATATGAGATATTTACAGACCCACACACTACTGTGCACTGCTCCTTTGGGGCTTCCAAAGATGTTAATTTGTGATCAAACATTCGGCATTTGTAAATACAGAGTCTCATAAAGCTTTGATAAGATACAGAAAAGTTGCAGCTGTCCAGAACTTACTTAGAAAAATATTTAATGACCTATCCAGTGATTTTATTTCTGTTAGGATGTGTGCCAGACACATAACTGATCCCATCAAGTCTGCCAAAGCATTCATAGCACATCTCACATCTTTCTTCATGGTTCTTGGTCTGTATTCTGCTGACCATCTACATCTGACACAAGGAAGCAGGATAAAAGCTGTGGTGCTGTCTCAAGCACACCGGCCTATCAGCCATCATCTTAGAGGGCAATTTCTTTAAGGACAGTCTATCTCTCCTGCTGCTCTGTGCCATGGGACTTGGCTTTCCCGATTCCATCCCTTCTCTGTGGTCCAAGAGGATGCTTTATGTTAATCAAGTGACCGTTTTACTCTGGCAAGTCTTATAAATAAAAGCATCTTGAGAAGAAAGAGAAGGACACACTGAGAACCTTCCCGTCCTGACATTGTTGCTTGAGCTACATTGGATGCATCCATATTGACCCTTTCTAAGGTTAAGTCTAAGTCTTGTTCTGCTTAGGAGGGGGACAATTATGTAAGACTTCAGAAGTCCCATATTAACATAAGCATAGCTTGCTGGAGGGAAAAACTCCCTGGATTTAAGCAGGGCTTTGCCTGAGGAGAGGTGTCACACCTGGTTACCATTTTAGAATCTATTTCTTAGAAGATCAGACCCAGTGCCTTACTGAAATCTAGTGATTTTTCAGGCTTCTGTATTTGGGTGACAGCCAAGGGGAAATGTTAATGCAATACATTTCAGTGCAGGTGAACAGAAACTGAGTGGTTCACCCATTGTGTCTGTGAAACACTCATTTAAATTTCATTTCTGTGGCTGCTGAGCAGCTGCTCTTCAGTTCAAGCTGGGACATTCACTGCTAAGTTAGCAACGATGACGTGGGGTAATGTTGTCAATAACAGTGAAGACATTTGAAGTACCTTTCTGTTTTCTTAAAAAAAAATGTAGGGAATTAAGAAAGTGCTAGTAAGAAAGTACATAGTCTTTAGAGCTGTGTGGAAAACCGAACCCAAGAGATTCAGAATTCCACACTCTGGGGCATTGGTTTAAAAAACCACAACAAACCAAACTGTCAATCTTTGGACGAAATGATAGAACTTGGCTGTAGGAGCCTGGCACTCATCCTGTTTCTTATTGATTTATTTTTTTTATTTAAATAAATCCTAACTCAAAAGCACCACAACATGATGTTGCAGCACTAAAGAACTTTTTATTTATCCGCACTTTAAAGGGTTACAGAACTGGGATAAGACAATAATTTTTTACTTGCCACAAAAAATTAAGAAACCTTTTTCTAGGTTGTATTTCAAGTGTTGAGCAGAGCAGATTCTTCAGTGACAGCCAGGAAGCCACAGGGAATGCCTTGAAATTACTCACACCTTGGAATTACTCACTAAGTCCAGCTGTTCTGTGAAGAGGTGACTTTTCATGTGTTTCCCTTCCTGTCTCATTCAGACACAAGACCACATAGAAATACTGCAACAGAACCAGGGGCAGAATTCATGCAAATTCCCTGTAGAGGATATTCTGTTCCCTCGTGTGCCATTACTGTGTTCTCTGTATATTTTGTTTGCGATTTCATAATATTTTAGCAAATTAACGTCTCTAATATGAATGTATTTTCCCCCAGTTTTCATTTGCCCCCACACATATGCTCAAAGCCATATAAGTCACATGGACAGTAAATCAAAAGAAGTCACAAACAGTGGGATCTACTGTGTACTGTATTAAATTGGGACTAGCTGTGGAAGCCAGACAAAACCTACTGTGTAGCTGTGAGTTCAGACCTGCCTAGTTGAAGTCAAAAGGGTCTTTGTCAATGTCTTTCCTGGGGGTATATTTGAATACGTGTGAAGATATTGTGATTTAAACAAAAATAAATCCATCCACATCATAATTGAAATTTCTATTTATTAATAAGTGGTGCAGTTTTTAAAGACAGAACATAAAAAAATCAGTTAAGAAGTATTGTTTGCATAATATATTGAAATAAACATATTAAAGTTGTTCAAATATTGGACAGTGCCAGAATAGAAATTACACATACAGTTTAAAAATTACAATAAATAATATTATAAAGAGCACTAAAGGCCACTTGTATAAAAGTTGTGTTCCCTTGTCAGCCAGAATCTGAAAAAAGCATCTTTGTAGCATGGAGAAAATTTCAGTGAGCAAGGCACAAATACTAGTAATAATAAGATGCCATAACTAGAAAACAAAATGCAGTTTGTTATGTAACCTTCAGTCCCAGCGTGTTCTCGACGATGGAATAGGATCCCACTTTCAGTATTTTGTTTCACTTAACTTCAGAGGGAAGCTACTCAAAGCTGAATTGGGAAGGGTCAAATCTTACAGCCTAAATAATCAGAAGCAAAAGTGATACCCAGGATCTTCATTCCCACAGCGCCCAGCTAAAAACACTTGAAAATGGCCCTTTTTTATCTCTGTACCTCTGAAAATAGTCTTCCAGGGTGAACATCCACATTCAGCTGGGCTCCTGAAAAAGTGATATCCCACCAAATTCAAAAACTTTAGGTTTGCCCTTCTTAGGCGCCTAAAGCTCAGTGGTGGGGGCTGTGGGGTGCAAGGAATCAAGGTCCAGCTCTTTCCCACGTGCTCTTCGGTAAAGAAGGACGAATTTAGTGCTTACCTAAGCGGATATGACAGCTCTGCAGCAACTGGGCTCCCAGCAGGGCAGGATTTGCTCCTTACTCTGAATTTTCTGACTGCTTTAGGCTGTGATCTTGCGAACCGGTTGGACCTCGGTGCTTGCCTGAAGGCCGCGAGGCAGCGGCCCCGCTATGCACGGGTTCAGGTTGGGTTGGGTTTGTGGTGCTCCTGGGCCACAACTTGGAGCAGGAAAATTTTAAACTGCTTCCCCTCTGAACCGTAACAATGCAGCAAAGTTACAGATAAAACCAGAGCAAATATAGCCAAAGTCGGTTTAGGGACTTTTTAATCAATCTCTCCACATGTTGAATTCCCTTTTTATTTTGATGGGAGCTAAACTGATTAATTCAGTGCAGGGAAAAGCCAAGGCAGGGACAACAGCCATTACCTGCCTAGATTTTTTGTTAGAAGTTCTCCCTAAATAGAGCATAAATCACATTTTTCTATACCTGCGTACTTCAACTAAACATTCTCTTCTGTCTTAATCAAGTATTCCCAGTTTGAATCTAAAGTGAAGAACCTCAATTGATAATGATGCTGCAAAGAGAGGCACACAATGTAAACACAGATTCACCTTTTTGAAAACTTCCAGATGTGTGGCATTCACTAGGGACTGAAAATCAGTCTAAGAATGTAGCCAAGAAAAATGTTTCCAGATCAGTTCTGTCTTTCACAAGGAAATTCACAAATAAAGGCAGATTAGGTCTCAGCCCTGCTCCCACTGCATCAGTTTGAGAAGGTTTTTGACTTTGAGGAGAACAGAGAAAAGTTCCACAGTTTCTGATTATGAAAAATATCTCAAGGACTGAATTAAGTCATCAAAGAGTGGTCAATTCCCTTTTATATTAACCATATGTAAACAAAGTGTTAGTGTCAGTTGAGATGCTAGAAAGATCTCACCCAAAGGGCATTGGTAGCTCTTAAACTGAACCATCACACAGAAACAGAAGGTATAAATCTAATTCATTCCTATTGTGAAGACTATTGTTGACCCAGACAGCTCTCTCAAATGAAATTGTGAATTGCATGGGGAAGAAAGTCCTGACCTTCTAACTTGTTAAGGGTCACTCATAGTTTATTTTGTTTTGTCGAGTATCTATGGCAGGCACATAAACTGCAGTTCAAAGGTGGATGCACTCCATAGACTCATCTGAACTGCAGTCTGATGAAGTTTGTGTGCACATCCCAGAACAGGGAAGACCTCCAGATCTCACCTGGCTGGTGACACCTTGACACATTGTCTGTTGTCAGCACAGACAGCAGAACTGATGCACACCCTATTTTTAATCCAGCTGATGTAGAGGGCAGAGAGCTGCTAAGCACATTACCCTTCTGAACAGAGCAGTGACTGGTTTCAGTGTGAAGAAGTGTGTAGGAAAAAAGCTAATCAGATCTTCCTTGTCCGATTTCTTGGGTCTCCTCCACAGGATCCACAGATGTCCCCTGCAGAGGGTCTTGTTGAGTTTACCACCAGTGCTTTTTAAGAAGAGGCAGACCTCATCTGGCCAGTTAGCATATCATTAAATATTTCATGATGTGGCTACTAAAACCTGACCTGGTGCCTTTAAGCTGCAGAACAATTTAAAGGCAGTTGAGCTGCTAAGTGTACAGAGTGCAGGCAGCCCAAATCCTGCTTTCTCTGGGTCTGCACTCTGTGTGCAGGTGAAGATTCACTCAAGTCTCTGCCCTTGCCTGGATTTTCTCTTGGAAAGAACAAACCTTTATAATGAGGCTGTTTATGGATTTTCAGCCAGGTTTAATACTGAGGGAAGATTCCTTTTATATCACCTGGCATGGGAAAGAATAGAAACTTGAACTGAAGAATTTAAGTGGGAATTGGACAGGAAACTGCATGGCACAGCCACTGTCAAAGACAGTCACAAACAAATTTCTCAAATTGCACCTGCTTTTTGGCTGTCTTGATTTCTGATTGCTCAGATCTAGAAAGCATTTTAAGAAGGACCAAACTCAGATAAAATCGGTAGGAATGACAGACCCTTGTCAAATAAGAAAAGTGAAGCAGGCTTGTCTAGCATACACTTACACCAATTTCAGAAGTGTAGTAATGTCAAAATAATTTTTCATTCTTTTTCATTCTCTTTCATTCTCTTTTCATGTGAGGGTTAAATCTCATGAGTTGCCACAGGCATCTATTCCTGTATCAGAAAGCCTGCAGCAGGTGCAACACAGGTATTTCCAAGAATCACCAAAGGCCAAAGAATTCTTCTTAACATACCAAATTATAATGAATTTGTCAGTTACTTTTATTCTCTGCAAATTTAGCCACAAAAATTGCACCAGAGATTATCTTACATGCCAATGGCTATTCTGTCAATTAAGTAATTACCAAAATTGTGCCTCATGTCATAGTTACTGGCCTCAGAACAGACTAAGGCCAGCCTTGAAAGGCTGTAACTGGCCTGCATTGTTTATTCCACTAACAACAGCAATTTGTTCTCCCTGAAGATTCATCCCAGAAGGATGCAGCATGATTTAGCAGAAGAAGCAGATGAAGTAAGAAGATCCTAATCCTTTAGATGTCTCTTCCAATACAGAATAAACAATGAAGATGAAGGCAATGCCTGCATCTGGAAAGGAACAGAAGCTCCCTGGATGGAATGACTCTTAGGAGATGTCAACAATGCTGAGGAATTGAACATGAAGTTTCCTATAGTGGGCAAAACGCAACAAAATATTGTCTATTCAAGTGCACTCTGTCCAGGGCTGTTCAATACCCAGTAAGTACTGGGAAGCCCAATAACATGTTCTTGTGCTGTGTGCCAAGGATGCTCAGTTGTGCAGCTGCAGTGTAATACCAGCAGTCACTACAGAAAGTGCCCTGGATGTTGTGTGGAGTGACAGGGGTCATTCTTGACAGGAGCCATGGCAGAGAGGCTGCTCCTTGGATCAGTGGGGTAGAGGTGAGAGCCTTCCCACTGACTGTGGGTGTCTCCGACCGTTTGACATCTAAGTAAGTCACCCTCTGCTCCCTGTGAAGCTGGTAGAAATTTGTCATTGTAGATAATTGAGTCAGAGGTGAGATTAATCTCATCCTAAAGCTGACATGTGCCTTGGTTCTTGTACCCTGTGCTCACTGACTGTACTGCCTTATTTCCCACCAGCTGTAAAGAGTGTACAGCCATCAAACTTGAAATCAAATGGATGCTATTTTATGGACACCTTGATTGACACCAGGTAAGACCTGCATAGGATGTTCAGATAGGCTTAGTTTCACTAGCTTTTCAGGTATTACATTCCCACTGCTGAGATCTTTGATTCATTTCTTCCCAGTAGGTTGAATGAATTTCCTGCTCTCCTTCAATATAATATCCAATTTCTGTGAAATTAATATTTGGCCAAGGCTTAGGGAGCATACTTGCCCCTCTGCTGCTCAGGGACAGGGGACAAAAATGGTGTTTATTTTTTCATACACTGATCCTAAATATGGCCAAACATTCATGGTTTTGGAGCAGTCTATTTCCAAGAGAAGCAGTAAACAGAGAGAAACAGATCCTGGCAGCATCCCACACTGTAGGACTCAGAGAAGATACAATAATGATATTCTGCACATCTCAGGAGCTCAAAGCACTTGGCAAATATTAGTGACTTGAGCCTTACAACCTGTGTTTATGTGGGGAAGTATAACTCCCAATTAACAGATTGGGAAACTGAGGCAGAGTTACATTATGCACCTTACTTAGCAGCACATAAGTCAATAAAAGAGTGGAGTGTATAAACCTGGTGTTCCCTACACTGAATAACCTTATTTTTGGAACAGAAAGAAAATTCGGCCCCATAAGTAACAAATTGACTTAGGAAACGATTTTCTATAAAATAGCATTGCAGTCTCACTGTGAGTAATTTTATAAGCACTAGTGAAGATTTTCAAAGTAGTTTGAGGGATTTATATTTACATTTTACAATGAAAAAATAACTATGTTTAATCCCAGAAGCTGGCTTTGATGATTTAAAATTCTACCCTTAAATTAATTTCAACATTGTATTTCAGGGGTAATTATACAAGAAATCACATGAGAAACACTTAGTTCACAAACCCATTTCAATAAGGTCATACTTTGACTCAGGTTTTTCCCTGCTTTTAATATTAGAAATTCTTGGCTAGGTTTGTTAGAGATTGATTGACTTATATTGGAAAATGATTCATACATTATGCTTCCACAAAGGGATATTGCTCCTGAAAATATTTTTACTTTGCTGCTCTGTTTACAAAATGTAGCAAGGACCACTGTATCTTGCCTGTTATCAATTCACCATTGTTGTATGGAAGAGTATCAGATAGATATGTATCATAGAAGAAATCAGCTGTACCATTTATATAGGGTAAAGTCATGCAAACCATGCTCAAAACTAAGCTCCTTAGTTTTGGTAGCATGAAAAAAACTGCATTATTAAATCGTATGAAATGGTGCAGAATGACTACCACTAATATCACATGCATCTTATGCAGCCATTGGTGTTTTGAACTAGTAAGCTTTGGGTGTAGAGTAAGTGAGATATACAAAGTATGCTTACATTACACGGAGAAGTCAACCAGTGACTGCCCCCACACGCGCTTTTAAACTGGCTTGTTCGAAGGGGTCCATATTGAATCTGAAATCCCATCTCCTGTAGAAGACAAAGGCATGGAGCCACTTGGTGTGAAGGGGTCTGTGTCTGTGTCTGTTTCCCCCTCTGCCAGGTAGCGTTTCTCCCTCATCCACGCCGATCCTCCGTTGGGGCCAAACGGGAAGTCGTCTCTCTCCTGGGAGATACTGAAGCCACTTGGGGAGCGCTCGAGTTCCTCGTGGTTGACTGAGAGGAGGGACAATGGAGTGTCACTGTCTCTTGTTAGGCTCCTTCTGTGCCTCGGAGACACCTTGTCTGAGTAAGGGCTTTGCAGGTCTCCTTGGGAGTGGTAGCTGACCTGGGAGTCCATCAGCGTGAATATGGGCAGAACTGTTGGCCTTTCTGCATACGAAGTTGAGGAAGGTGTGGCTTGCAGTTTGCCAGAGTTTTGCCCACCTGCTGATAAAGGTTGTGAATGAGTCATATGACCTCGTGCTGAGAAACCGTAAGGACTGACTTTGTTGACTGGAACCTGCTGGAAGTTGTAAGGAGTTTCACGAGCACACTGCTCAGTGTATTTATATATTATTGTTTTTAATTCAGAGTATTTGTTTTCTTCTCTCTTCTCCCTCGCAGGAGAAGCAGTTTCCCTCAATGGACTTATCTCAGCGACTTGTATTTGCAGCTGTTCCATATGATGCATGTGCATATCAACAAGAAAATCCAGTTTCTTCCCCATGTCATTTACCTGAAAAATACCAATGTCATGACATTGCCTCAAGTCAGTTGTTCAACAGAAGAGTCCACGCTCCCATACATGCACTGCCCCCAGCAATGGTGTGCTGTCACCTTTATTGGTAAACACAGGATAATCATGACCTTCCCTCACAAGCTAAGCTGCAGTGGATGCCAGCTTATCCTCTAACTGCCTCAGAATAAGAAAACCTGTCCCTATGAACTGTGCCAAAAAAATTCTTGGTGTAGCTGGATATTTAACAGTCCAGTATCCACCGGCAGTCTATAAGGTTATTACAAAATCTTGATACCATATGGTAAATAGCCATTAGCAAAATCCAATATGGAATTTCCTTTGCAGACAGGCCTCTTCTCTAACTCTTTTACAGTCCCACAACTTCAGGGTTACATATCAGGACTTATTTCCTTTTTCTTTTCATAGGGCCCAAAAGTAATCATTTTGAGTGTCAGACCCTGGAGAAGAAGGGGTTGCTCACAACAGAACGCCAGGTGTGATGAGTATGGCATTTAAGGAAATGAAAAAGCCCCACTTAAACGTCATGGTCAGGATCTTCTGCCATATATAATGATATTGATTCAACAGGTTTCAAAATGATCATTTCTATCATGAAAAACTAACAACCAGCAGTAGAATCCTTCCTGGCTCAGCCAGAGTCATACAGGATTTGTGTCAGCTCTACCATTTCTGTACAGGCACCTCAGCCTCCATCACTGTCATGAAATTACATACCTGTCGTTCAACTTTAACAAATTTGCCCATCATACTTTGGTCTTCAGTATCTGCTGTAGATGCTTTGGCTACATACGGATCATTTCTACAAAGAATTAATAACTCTAATTAGTGTTCAATTTTTGCATTGCAGTCAGCAATTTCTATCAGAAACACAATTCACATCTTGGTGATGTATTCCTATAGATCCTCAGAGACCATTGAGTTATTTATCATAAAAACAAGAGTAAAAATTCTATGTGATTCTAATTCAATTCTAAAAATTGTACTCTTGATTTTAAATTTTTTGTTTTGTTTTGTTCAATAAAAATTAAGAAAAAACAAAAGCAAAAAAAAAAGTTCAAAACAATGTTGAAATTAATCTCTGGCTTGGTGGAATAATTTCAGTTTTGTGAAGAATACTGAGATAGTCTAGTTAGTGGGCCTACAGATGGCCATGTGTTTTCAAATCTAATTCTTTATAATTAGTGTATTTAGAGACTGAATCTGAGTTTCAAGGATGAGTGTTATTTTTTTTCTCGATTTCATTAAACCAAATAATAAGTGGCAGAGGCTGGAAATGCTGAAAAGAGACAGTCTGGTAGCAGGTTCCAGAATAAATTTTCATCTATGCAATTTCTTTCTTCCTGTCCACCATATGGACAAACTTCAGGAGGTAAGAAGATGATCTCTAACTAAAGAGCTATGATTTATGACTTCATAGGAGCTAGGCTGCTCATGATCAAGTTAAACCTTTGTCAAGTGGTTTCTAAACCAACCTCAAAGGAATCTATATCTTCCCATAACCTGTGCCAAAGTCTAGAAAAACAATTTCTAAGCACTTCATTGCTCTTTAACGTGGATTGCAACAAATACACTCTAAAACTTTTAACAGGTCCAGTTCTTCTCTTTCTGACAAAATCTAAAATATAGCTGTGATTTTACCAGAGCAGAAACTATAATGAAAATATGTCAGATTTTCCACATTGTGTTATTGGTGATATGGCTCATTCAGTTTTTGCAATCTGCTTTGTTTCCCAAATGATCACTGTCTCCTCCATATGCTTAGGTCTCTGTCTTCCCATTTACATGGGCTCAGATTTTTTCCTGGGTGGATAATTTATTTTCTGTAAGATTGCTTTTGTTCTGAGCAACTACAACAGCTTTGGGGACAGATTGTTGATGGTCTTGTGTGGTTCTTGATGGGTATTTATTGACAGATTGATAGTTGTAAACAACAGAAGAAACGTCATTTATTATTGAATTCGTGCTACCAGGAATGCAGCAATACAATAAGATGCTGCAACTTTCACAACCAGAAACCTGGTGTTACAATTTATTTTGAGCATCTCTCACCAATCACTTTTTTAAAAGCAGCAGCATTAAAAATCTTTGCCTGGCATTTGGTGAGGGCCATAATGAAGCTTTTTTCACTTTGGGAAGAAAACTAGTTTACTTTCAAACTGTTGTTAATGTCAAGCTTTTAAGTGAGTTTACTAATTGAATTTTAGAAATTCAGCACATCAGCAATCAAACGTGTGTAATTAATTTAAAATCATATTTCCAAACTGTGGAGAAGCTGACACAGACAAATGAGAAGCCATAGTTTAGATTTCCATCATACATTGTTGTTAGGGAAGGCAGTGACTTGCTGGCTCAACATTTACCCACATGTATATCTTACAGCAACGTATCCTCTCAGTATCATTACTGTAACACTCGGTGAATAAAGTTCATGCTTATTGGTAAGAATTAACTTTTCATTTCTGTATTGGGCTATGCTAAATACTAGGCATAAAAAAATTCACCTGGGAGACTGTTGTGAAGGGTAAGAGAAAGCTCCTCCCTTTTGGGATTTCTTATGCTTGGGAGTAGATGGAGGTCCAGGTGTAAAAATCATATCTACTCTGAAAAAAAGAAAAGTGCAACTGCATAAGTCCATCTCCAAATGCTAACACATGACAGAATATGCTATGCATCTCTGAAACAAAGATTCAGAAAGAAAGCAGATGTTGATTTGGTAATATATTGGGGGTCATGGTGTGTTTGTTCTGTTCTGGGTCCACAACCAATATACTGAATTGCAATTACGTAGTAATTTAATGGCAATTAAGTTATGCTCTGGCTCACAGTTTCCACACTTCAACATTTGAAACACATTACGTCTTTTCCTTCAGAGGAACCAAACAGCATGATTGTCAAAGAATCCCCAATAGCAGCTGCTCTTAAAAGTGTCAGGAGACCTGTCAGGTTTTGTGCTGGATAATGAAAATCAGAACTTGGTGAAAGGTAGAATTCCCTAAATTCTCAATAAACCAATGATATTCTGGCAGTTGCTGTATCTAATTGTTCAGCAATATTTTTGTATTTACTAATTGGTTCTTTTTTGGTTTGAAAAACGTAACTTTAAATGAAGTTTCACAGTGAGTTCAAAAAGATATTACTTCATAAAAAAATCTAAGCTCATGTGATGCAGAGCTCATTTTAGAGAGTAACAGTTGTGGTTTGTGGTACATAATTAAAGAAAGAAGATTTTCTAGAGCAATAATAGTGAGGTGGGAACCAGACTTGTTATATACTTGAAAAAGAGATAGCCCAGTACATGGAAATACCAATTATCCCTGCTAGCTACTCGCCTTTTTTCTTCAGGGAAAAGTTTTCTCATGGACCAGCTACACTGTGCAAAGTCATAGCTGCTGGGTGACCCTACACAAGTAGGCCAAGTATGCCTTTATTTTGATAGCAAAGCTAAACATTTTCCCCACAAACCAGAAGATTCTTACCTTGCCTGAAGGTATTTTATTCTGGAAAGCATATCAAGATGCCCTGCTGAGTATTGCTCTATCACATCCTTTACATCATAAGGCCTCAAAGTCTCCTTGAATTTTTTTTTATAGAGACGAAACTGTAATATTCTGCATAATAAACAGGAAAAAAAATTAATTTATTATATAAACTCCATAATGGTAATTTCCAGTTTCGTCAAATAATTGATAAATACACTGGGTGCTTGGGAATAGAGCATGTTATTTCCAAACAAGGCCATAAAATATAAGCAGAGGATCTCTAACATCATACCACACCACATTTGGAAATACTTAATAGTTGGCTTTTCATAATTAATAGGCTAAAACAAATGGTTAAGAGCTACAGAATCTTATTTGGAGTTTGAATTTGAACAACATAAGCCATGGGAGATTTTGAAGCTGTGAAGTTGAAGTTGCTTTTTAAAGATTCAGCCCATTATAAAGCTAATTTATAGCATATGTAATGCTGAATAATTTTCATCTTGGTTTTCATTTTGCACCTGGGAGAATTTTGGATAGGAAATGCAAATTAGATATAAATGTGGAAGTTAGGAAGTTAACAGCAGTTCAAGTTGTGAAGAGAAGAAAAATTGTTAGAACTGTCTGAAGTGTCCTTGAAAAAAACAGCAGTAAAACATTTTTATTGTTGCTGTAATGATAATAATATAATAATATAATTGCTGTTATTATTGCTATTATTATAAAATGACTCAGTAATTAGTTACAGAATTCTTATAACAAGGACCGGTGTTGGCCAGAGCACTTAAAAAAATATTTGGCATTATTTTTGTTCATTCTTTTCTGTTTATACATTGCTTTAAACAGTTAAGTCTTGGTAGATTAAACAAATAGAAAAAACTTGTTTAAAGAATGAAATCTTTATCTTCATATGTTTTAGGCTTGGGTTCTGAGGGTTTGTTTTCTCAGTAGTCTTGTTGGTCAGAATTGGGGAATTCCTGTCATCTGTTAAGATTCTGACCTGGTTCTTATTTAATGTTGGGGTTTTTTTAAATGTTTTTTAAATCTTCATAAACTGCCATTTAGCAAGGATAATTCTGTTATCAGGGCTGCTGACTCTTCAACTCTGTTGCTTATAAATCTTTCAAGATTTCAGAATTCTATCTGTGCCTATTTTAGCCAAATCATATATGAGAACAGCAAAACTACACACTAAAAGACATAAATGAAAAATAGGAATCCCACTGTTAGCAATTTCAATTTAACATCCCCTTGATCATGACCCTGAAATCCACTAAGTGGTGTTGTCTGAAAGAAATACTTCCCATTAACATTTCAGGATCTGGATAAAATACACAAGAAAAAAAAAATCTTGGCTCCTGTTTGAGTTTAAAGGGAAATTACATGAATCGTTTAGATTTGGACAGGATGTGGGAAAGAACTTTTGCAAAAGTAATAAGTAGCATGTCTCTGAGTTAGAAAGCAAGAAGGTATCAGGGAAAGGAAGGGAAAGCTCTGGAGGACATAGGGATGAAGAAACTTCCAGTGGGAGGGAAGCAGTCATGGGTAACACGAGCAAAGCCTGGCTTTCAGTAGGCTTGAGAAAACTTGGAATTTTTAGTGACTCGTTCTCTTGCACCCAATTGGAAAAGAACCAGGAGAGTACATCTTATGGTTATATATATATCTTATGGTTATATATATATATATATATGTATATAGTTATATTTTTACAACCCTCTTCCTTGAAGTTTTTTCGTAGATAATTTTGGGGCACTTCAGACTTGCAGTATTTCACCTGAAAAGTGCTAAATCCCTGGCCCACAACTTAGGAGCGTCTGGAATAAATGGCAATTGCAATGAAAGCAGAGTATTTTCATATGGGAGCATTTTTCAAGACAGAACACTGAGAAGTAACAGAGCATCAGTGAGGGAATTCTATTTGCTTGATGTGCTAAACACATTATCAAGGCTTACTAGGAGTTTTCTAACCCCGGGGAATATCTCTTGTGATATGAAAATAGAGGTGACATGTGTCACAAGCCAAAAACTGCTGAAATGGAGACCTCAGCATCTATTAAAAGATGATAGCTGAAAAGTATATTGCACACTCATACAATTGTGAATAGAGAAGAGCTGACTCAGTTCAGTTTTTTGTCTAGTGAAAATTCCAGTTTAAAATAAATATTAGTCACTAAACTGAGTAATATGTCATATTAATACAGTATTTTAATGTGGAACTGTATACAACATTATTTTATAATAAGTATGGAGTTTCTTGCAAAAATGACATGGTCAGTGTTTTTGAAAAACATTCTCCTTTCTGCATATTTTCAACAGACTGAATAGTGTCTGTCTTGTGCTTTTGAATGCAACCAGAATTATCTATTATATTGCATTTTAAAAAAGCAATAACATGAATCAACATTTATCAACATGGTGAAGTGATTTCCTGAAGCATAAACATTATTAACAAAAAACCAAAATAAACAAACAAACAAAGAGGGGATAAGAAAAAAGGCAAAAAAAAGAGAGGAGAAAAAAAATAGGCATTGAGGAGCATTAGAGATATTTACCTGACAGCTCGGATGGCTGTCTTGAATGTGGGGATCATATCTTCCATAAGAAAATCATTACTGTCGCCTCTGTCTTCTGCCATGGGTTCCCCTGTTCCTGCATCTGCAAAGCAGGCCAAAAAACAGCTGTGTGAACATCTGACCACACAGTAATTAGAGGGATGTCTGTCTGACTAAAGCAGTGCTTAAAGTAACTGCATTTAATAAAGGAACATCTCTTACATGTTCCTCTTTCACTGTTCAGCTCTTGAATGGGAGTTAATAGTTCTGGGACAGCTGTAAGTCACATTATTTGAGGGATCTCCTCTCAGATTCCAACATTTCTGAAACATTGGGAACTTTTCTTCCTTGACAATGGATCTTTGCCCAAATATTTTAGGTAAAGGCTAAAACAGGTTTAGGTGCCACAGATCAAGCTCTTCTTTCACTTTCACTGCTTGGAGCTCGTGTACCTTCATGAAGAAGAATAATAATTAAGTTCCTGGTGTGGAACACCCAGATTATACCCATGGTAGTAGGCCAGCACTGATGCCAGCTGGCTCAATAAAGGAGAAAACTGTTATTTAAAGACCATTTGGATGCTATAGGCAAGAAGAGGAAAATGTGTGCTCAGGGAAGCTGAGAGGAAAAATGCCCTATAATGTTGTGTGGACACCCGGTGGAAATCTGCTGAGAGGCAGAGGGTTTGGGGAGAGAGGAGGGGAAGAAGACCTTGACTCTACATAACAAGATTTTTTTTATGAGATGGCAGTGAGGAGATATTTGAGATGCCTGGACACAGGCTAGTGCAGGGCTGAATGCAGTCTAGGAGGCAGCTACCTTAGCACAGCAGCCCTGCTCATAAACCGAGCCATGATGGCATGTGTTTTTGGGGGGATATATGTTCAGTGTCCAGTGTGCCCTCTTTTTCTGGGTCAAATAGGCTGATTCCAACACTGGCTTTATCGCATATCAGTTGTTGTTTTCATGGATGGTTGCTGTGTTTTTCCAAGCACTGTGTTGCCTGGACTCTGGGATTCATTTCCTTGGGCTTCCCCAATTGTACCACGTAAAACCAGGTACCAGATACGCTTGGCCCACAGAGTCAAAAACCTTCAACAGAAGATGCAGAGGGACAAAGTAAAATGGGGAGAACAGGGGATGCATAGGAACAAACCAACACAGATGGGCTACCTTCTGAGCTTTGCCAAAAAGCGTACGCTTTCATTCGGAATGCAGTGCGAAAACGCTCCTTATTATTCAAGACAACATTCTTAGGCTCTTTTGAAGGACTTTCTTCAATGGCATCTACATTCAGAGGGGTAAATAGCTTTCCTTTAGTATTGGTACCACGAACCCGATCCAAGAGACCCAGCTTTTGGCTACAAAATAAGCAAAAGTAAACATTTTCCTCCTTTGTACACTATTAACTTGTTTTCATGATGCTTTAAGTATATAATGGGTTAAATCAGTGTTTTGTATACAAGAACACTGCTGGGGCTACCATAATAAATGAACATCTTCATAAGCAACAGTTAAGCTCCACAGATAATTGACTGCTTTTTATGAGCACTTTTGTATCAATGTTGAAAATGTTACCAGAGGGTCTTGCTGTCCTCTCCCTGCAAGGTATCACAATGCTTCAGCTCACGTAGCATGCCTGAAGCATTAGTTTTAATATTAAGACAAAAACACCACTATTGCCATGAGCAGGGACACCTTCCACTAGACCAGGTTGCTCAAAGCCCCATCCAGCCTGGCCTTGAACACTTCCAGGGATGGGGCATCCACAGCTTCTCAGAGCAACCTGTTCCAGTGCCTCACCTCCCTCACAGTGAAGAATTTCTTCCTAATATCTAGTCTGAATCTGCCCTCTTTCAGTGTGAAGTCATTCCCCCTTGTTCTTTCACTACCTGTCCTTGTTAAAAGTCCCTCTCCTCCTTTCTTGCAGTCCCCCTTTGGTCACTGGAAAGTGCTTCAAGGTCTTCCCAGAGCATTCATTCTCTTATCCAAATGCAACAACCCCAACTCTCTCAGCCGTTTATTCATATAAGAGCTGTGCAGTCAGGAGTAAACGAAAGTCAGAGGTGCTGTGAAAAAATAAATTACCAGGAAAACTCTGGCAAGGCATTGCAAAGCAATGACTACATACATGGCAGGGCAGGCTGCCCTGTTCTCTCCACCATTTGCTGTCAGCCATCTCTCGCTACCCCAAGAACTGAGGTGACCTATGTGAGTTGAAGTGACATATTTTGTTCCACCGACGATTTCTTGCACTGTCCCTCTAACAGATTTACTGCCCAAAGACACTTGTCCTTCAGTGACAACATATAGCTAGAATTTCATCTACCTGCTATTTTACCACCATGACTAACCCTGACGGCCTGATGACAGAAACCATCTAAAAGGCAATCGCTATTACAACTGAAAAGAGCAACAGAAAAGGAATCTGCTAGTGAGTATATGAGCTTATATATGTTCTGAACACTTTTTAGGTGATAGATGGTATAAATATTTGATTTGTTTGTTCACTTTGCTGCTCAAACATTTGGTAATCGCACATTTGTTAAAAAAAAAAAAAAGAAAAAAAAAAAGCAGGGCTAAGCCATGGGAAGAAAGCCTGCCTTTTAACACATTCCTGGATGCTGCAGTGTGGGACAGCTCTAGGAGAGGTGAATTGTGCACACATGATCAAGAGGCAGTTCTGTGTGGGACACCAGGTCAAACAGGTTGAATGTGAGGGAGGGAAGGAGGGAAGAAGCCATCATAGCTGGCAGGTTCCTGAGAGCCACAGGTGGGAGCAGAGCTGAAGGATGAACAGCCACAGTTACCAGAAGAAAGAGTTAATAGGTATCCAGTAAGGGATCTGTGCAGTAGGATCATCTGAAGCCACTAAACCTACTGGCAGGACAGGCAAGTCTGGGCAGGGTCCACCATGCAAGGACATAGTGGACAAAGATGGAGACTTGGCTGCTGACCTTGCAAGTGTGAAAGAAGGATATGTTTCTATCTCAGAGCTATGTCTGTTGCAGTATTCCACCATAATGGAAATTCTGAGGATATTCCTCTTAAAATGGTAAAGGAAAGACTTAAAAATATGCATGATGACAGCACAGCTTTCATAAGAGTGCTAACTATAGTACAAGTAGAAAAAGTAAGAAAAGTAGTAAAAGTAAAAAATTTACAGCATACAAAATTGACACCTGATCTGAGCATTGAACACCACAGCTATTGCAAGTTTTTGCATTATTTTTTGTCTGCATTGATTACTGAGGTCCTCATCTCTACTAGCTGTTTCTGATTAACAGATCTTTGACCCAGGAAGTAATGAAATATGGGCTTCTCTGTCACAAAAAGATGAAAGCACTAAAGCTTTGGGTAGGAAGTTTTTTCAGCCCTTCAGAATTTTCTTGTTGATATGCCAATATACAAAAATATACACAGGAGAAGATGACAACTACTGAGCAAGTTTGAAAGGGCATGAAAAAATAAAGGTGAGGAAGTAAAAGTCAACAGAATGATTTGTGTGTGGGTTTTTTGGGGAGTAAAGTAGGGAAAATAAATTCACATATCTCAATAATAATAATAAAATCAAAGTTTGAAGGAGGAATTAATTTTGAGAAGGGTGGTCAAGAAGAGTCTGGAATCATGCACATCACAGAAAAGAATTTTAATGCAAAGAAATGCACCAAAAATCTAGCTGAGTGATAACAGAATCAGCCAGGCAATATAAGCTGGTGAGCCTTAAGGTGTTAGAGAGAATGAGCTTGTGAGAGTGAGCATTTCTTTATATAAACTAAAAGAGCACTTAGGCAAGCGTGGTATGGTGGTGATCTTTGTAGACTGAAGGAGACTGAAATAAGCTACAAGAAGGAAAAGACTGAAGCAGTTTTAGAATGAGGAGATCTGTTCAATGATAATAAAATGAAGAAATTTGTCCCTGGGTCTGAAAAAAAGGCACGTTCAAAAGGCTTTTTGTGGAGATCAGCTTTTTCCTGGTGGGAGGATTTACTGGTCACCATGATAGACAATTGATAGATGAATCTCAAATGAAAGGAATAGTGTAGCCCACCTATTCTTCAGGATTTTAAGATTCAATGTCTTGGATCAAGAGCTTTTGGAGAGACCTTATGGGATCAGAAGGATTAAATCTAGCAGTGAAACTCAGATGATTTCAGATGATGAGGTAATTTCCTCAAAGGCAAGAAGAGGTCACATACTACACACTGGCTTCGAGAAACATATTAAATGTCACAAGATTTAAATTAGTAACACTACAGAGAAGCTCTTGAGAGAAGAATACATTTAAGGCACAGAACCTGAAATATGAAGAAGCAGAAAAATAGATTAGAAGGCACATTGCTGTTGTTTATAAAAGCAGCTTAATACTATATTAGAAGAAAATACTTGCCATTACAGGTGGTCTCTGACTCTCTCCCCAGAAACCTGCTTAGTCCTTCAAAATGCATATCCAGATGTCCCAAAATTTCCCCCTTAAAACTCCTGTTATAATTGCCTTCCTTACCAAAACACAAGGAAAAACACAAATGCAGAAATCTCTGTCATAGAGCTATACAAGAATAGGATTGACCAAAATTTGATATCCTCCTCATAGACCAAAACAGATCAAAATAATCCTCTGCACTGCCGTGGGCTCAGGTGGCTGGGTTTTTGGTAGTAGGGAGGCCATAGGGGTGGTTTCAGTTAGAAGCTACTAGAAGTTTCCCCTGTCTTAGGAAAAGCCAACGATAGCCAGCTCTAGGAGGGATTTCCCATTGCTGGCCAAGGCTGAGCCAGTGAAGGTGCCCTTCTGTGGTAACATAGTTAAGAACGGAGGAAGAGAAGGCTCTGTGGCAGAAGAAAATCCAGCCCGGAGAAGAGAGAAGAACATGGGATAACAAGCAGACTTCAAGGTCAGCTCCAAGAGGGGGGAGGAGAGGCCTGGGGGAGGGTCCTCCCTCTCCCCCTCCAGCAAGGCAAACACTGAGAGCCGAGTGCCCTGCCACTCATGGAAGACCATAGGGGTTCAGAGATTACCACACCCCTCCCGGACAGCTCATGGAAGAGCCCATGCTGAAACTGGTGGTTCCATGAAGGAAGCTGTGACCGACCCCGTGGGAGGCCCAAGGATAGAGCAAAGTCCTGCAGGAGACCTGTGGCCCGTGGAGAGGAAAACCCACGCTGAAGCAATTTTTCCTGGGTAGGACTTGTGGCCCTGTGGGGGGACCCAGGCCAATACAGCTCACTGGTGAAGGGATGACCCACGGGACAGCAGACTGGGGAAGAACTGCTCCCCGAAGGGATAGACTCACGCTGGAGAAATCCATCAGGGGCTGTCTCCCGTGGGAGGGACCCCACGGAAACAGGGGAAGGACTCAGAAATGTCCCCCTGTAGCCCGTGGTGAAGACCACAGTGAAATAGGTGTCCCCTTATACTACCATGGAGGAGTAACCTCCAGGACAACAAAATGGGAAGAGCTGTGGTCCGGGGAGGGACTGAAACAACAATGAACCCCCTTTTTTCCGTCTTCTGCATGGCTGGGAGAAGGAGAGGAGATCTGCAAAGAAGGAGGAGTGGGGGAAGGTGTTGTGTTTCAAGACTCTTTTTTATTTTTTAACTCTTTAGTTCTTATTCTGTTAGCATTGAATTTAGCTTTTAGTTTGTTAGTAATAAATCTAAGTTTTATTCTCACTCTGAATTTGTTTTGCCTGTTAACACAGCCTCCTCCTAGTTCTTATCTCTACTCAAAAATCCTGGCTGGTTTTTTTTTTTCTTTCTCTCTCCTCTGCCCACTTGGAGAAGGAAGGGGTTGGGGGGAAGGCACATGCATCTGTGGGGTACTTTTTCTTTTGGGGGGGGGAGGGGTGGTATTTATGGTAGATAATACAAACTAAAAGCATTCCCAAACTCTCTTTCCAGGGAGTTTCTCAGCTATCCCCATTGACAAATGTCAGTTTAGGAACAAACAATTCTCCCGAGACTGTTGCTCTAACATCTTAAATTTAGGAGCTAGCCCTCATCTGATCTGTCTTCAGCTGTTAAAAAAGCCTATCTTCCTGTCTAAGATTAATCTTTAGACCTATTTCTGTATTCAGTGGGAAGTTAGCAACCCTAACCAGTGAGTGGGAAGAGTGTGGTTCATATTGGGAAGACTTTACACTTGGGGAACTTGGCTCTTGTTACTGACTACAGAAAGATCTAGATGAGAGGTCATTTGAAAAGCAAGTCTCTAGTCTAAGTTAAAATTACCTGAGCTGAAGCCCTCCTTGTTCATTGAATCCTGATGATTAACCCTTAAAGTAACATTCAGATTCGTAACAGTATGTTTGTGCAATAAATATGACAATTGTGTTCATAGCCAGGCAGCCAGAGCAGTAGAATCATCAGAAAATAATTAATCAGCTTCACATCCCAAAATACAACAGTATGTTGTATACAAAAGAACTCAAAACAAAACCCAAGCTTCTTTCCAGATAATGACTAGCTGTCATCAGGGAAAAAAAAAGGGACTTTATTCTCATTTCCAAGGGATGAAATCTGGATCTGCTGGGGTTTTTGTTTCCATTGATCTTTTTTGAAAAGACTGAGGAAACATTTGTTCTCATGACACAATCTCCCCCATTAAACAGCATGCGCATGGCTCAGTCCCAGGGTACGAAGCATGCGCAGATCACATCACCCTCCATGAGAGTGGCTAGGACAGTGGTTCCCACCCACAGCTTCGTGCACTGCTGCCTGTCTCCTTCAGAATTCTCCAGCTGGTGTTAGCTACTCTTCCTCCCCTTGAAACAGTGGTCCTGTTTCATTTGGCACTCTTACGTTCAATAAAATGTGATTCCCGACTTCCAACACAGTTCCAGGAACTGAGGAGATTCAAATGCATCCCAAACATACTGATAAAAATGCAGGGTAGTTTCTCTGACTACCTTGGATATGTTTCCATTGCTTGTCTTGTGTGCTATTGCATCCTCTCCCTCATGGGTTCCAAAACCTTTGTGTTTGAAATGGGGACCCAGGACGAGAATTCCTTAACTCTGTGGTAGATACATAAAGGGAGGAAGGTGGAAGCAGTGCAGACAGTTTCTTCCTTCCTAAAGAAAAAATCATCTCTCAAATTCTTTTTCCCCAAGAGCAGTGGGAATTATTTTGGACCACCTGAGAGATTAATTTGGTGGGTGGACATGCGAGAGATGTCTGGCTTCTGCAGCACATGTTTTACCCTTGCTCAGAATAAAGAGTGGGAACCACTGAACTAGAAATACTTTTCCAGAAACAGTCATGCAAAGAAACAATGCAGTTACATCCCATCATGCAAGCCAGATACTCTCCTCTCTGTCCTCTGCCTAGTATTGGAGTTTCATAAACAAATGGTACATGAATGAGGAGAAAAATAATAAACTAATGCTAACAGTGAATCAAACAGCCCTATGCCATGTGTTTACCACTTTCACCTAACAAGAAATGAAAATAACCTGGGAATTTTTCTATATTTTCCACAAGTTAGCTAATAACTGGATTCAGTTAATCTCAAGCAACTGGAAGCAAAAGGCAGTCATGTTTACTCCAATATTTTTACAGCTTATCAGCTGAACTTGTATGGGTGAACTTAGATTTGGAAAAACAAACATTCTGAATGAGATTTCCAGAAGTATTCTGATTTGAACTTTCCCTAATAGAAATTAGCACAAAACTCATGTTATGAAGACAGACATGAATCCTGCAGTGAACATGTTCAACTGATCTCAGAAAGTCTGTGAGTTTTCCTAAGATAAAATAAAGAACATTCTGCACTTCAAGGTACTTCTTAACTTTGGCCAATCAGCTTTCCCTTTTATTGAGTAACATTCTTTTCTGCAGAGAGGATCTCACAAAAATGTTTAATCTCAAAATAGTTGACCCTAACAACCAAAACCAAAAAATTTCTAATGTCTGAGGAGGAAACATCTTTTCTAACTCAACCAATTTCCATACTCTTAGGTGGTGTGTGTCCTCATTGGTATTTAAGGGTGAGTGTGACTTCAAATCCAAACTCATCTACCGCCCAGATTATCTACACAGAAACATGAACACAAATCCTAACTTGGACTCTGATGCCCTTCAGAAAGAGCCCTTGTGCACACTAAAGGCCTTTGCTTAGCCCCTTTTCTCACCCACACTTTCAAAAGTGACTGGGAATGGGTAAAAATAAACAATGTCACATAAATCTATGGGAAGAATAATCCAAATCCAATTCTTTGTTGAAACAGAATGGATATTTTTCACCAATGCATGCAGCCATTGTAGGTAGAAACCATATGGATGTTGACCCACTTTTTGCTTTGAAGTGAACATATCTCCATGTATCAACCACTAGAAAGCAAATCAAACTGCAAAATCAATGTCTTCTTATCATTTTGTATGGGCCAATCACCAATTAAAAAAATGGAGAGCTTCACTAGCTGCTCTCCAAAAGTTGAAGAGCTTAAGCTAGAAAAGCTGAGTTGTGTGTTGATGATTTCATGTTTGATGAATGAAGTGGGAATGAGAACAGTGAGCTGAAGTTGAATGACAGCGAAGTGTTTGTGTGGGATAGGATAAAGTGCTTGACAACTCAGTCAAAATATTATTTCTAATGATATTTCTTTCTTATTCCTGAAATGAGAAGGATTATCTCTATGACTCTTTAAAGGAAGATAAAATTCTTGCCCCTCATCTTAGGTCACAGTTCAGGAAGATATTAAAGCATGTCACTAACTTTTTTCAGATGATCAAAAGCATCCACTTGTTTTCCATTTGCTGAACCAAAACCTGCAAATACACATGCAAAGATGCTCTTCCAGTGAACTCAAATTCCAAGTAACTTGCAAGAATTTGTGTTGGCAGGGTTGGGACTGCATAAGGAACAGTGTTTAGCTCTTACAGTGTATATTTTTTTACAGTAAATTTCAAACTGATTTGCAGAGTAGGTTAGTATCACTCCCATTCTATGAAAACAGAGAAAAGCACTTGTTTCTAAGCATATCATTGGGAGAGCCAGGGTTATATCCCATATTTTCTGAACAGCAGAACAATTAACTATTTGCAAGGTCATGCAACTTTCTTTTTATGCTTAATAACTTTTCAGTCTTATCACCCCTTACTTTTGATGGTGCTTAGGTGAACTATTGTAGTAAAAACAGAAAGTGCAGGCAGGGAATGTCATGCAAGAAATATGAAAAGAATAAGGCTCAACTGTTACTTGAATGTATATACCTAAGTTTTCTTGTGAGGCTTGATCCAAAGAATGACTCCCTACTAAACATGACATTACTGTAAAGTGAAGAAAAGTTATTGAGACGTTAATGATTACCCATGAAAAGCTCTATGAAAAATGGGAGCAGCCTTTCATTTGTAGTTAATGTAGTGTGGAGATCAGAGTGGCTTTTTTCTCCTTCCTGTTTTTAGGGCAGATGTATTAAGATGAAATGCTGACAGTGAAATTTTACACCTTGCAAAGTATGGCTTTATTTTCCTTTTGTTGTTAACACTGACAATACAAAAGTGCACCACATTTTATGAATTCTTTCATTCATAATAGGTAGGACTGGTACTGATTATGCCACTTAAAAAAAACAAGCCAACTTTCCAAAGGTAGATAAATATTATTTATCTTGTAGAGATAAGGAAACAGGGATAAATGACTTTTCTGCAATCACATAATAATAGATCTAGGAATGAACATAATCTCTTGATGTCTAGTTCTACAGCTGGAAAATGAGGATTAGGGACAGGACCCTGGGAGAAAATTCAAAACTCTTCACTAAAATGCCTGTCCATACAAGTGCTGAAGTTTCAACACCAGTCAAAATCAGATGAACAGCTGCTAACAACAGCACTGAAAAATAAGGCTCAATATTCATTACCCAAACTAAGACATAAAGAGTTGGTTCAGAATAAGCAATATGTCCATCAAGCAAAGGCCCATCTTAAATGTAGGTCAGGCTACCAAATGTTTGCTGAATGATTTGCTGCACTCCAGCAGAAATGAGCATTAGTATCTCTTTCTCATAAATCTTCCTTCTTGAGAACTGAACAGATGAAAAAGCTTTGCAATACTGGCAGAAGAGCAATTGCTACCTGAGATTTCATGGGGATGGTAGGTTTAGGAATTGATTAAGGAAAAAAAAGCTGGAGGCCCCTCTGGCATAAAGTCAGTAAAATCCCCACCAGTGAGCCATGGATAGCACAGCCCCAGTTCCTCCTGGTTTGGGGGATTGTACAGACCCTGCAGGGAAAATGCTACTCTTAACAGAGCTGCATCACATGTACCACTTCCCTTCACTGCTTACAGGACCCAGTCCAGCTCCAGGGCAGTCAATTGTCCTCTTCCTCATATCTCATATCTTCACAGTTTTAGTTTAAAGGGAGCCTCAGTAAAGCCTTGAAGGAGCTGCTGCCAAACCTCAATTGGTTTTCTACTATGACAAGTCCTTCCTTGAAGCCTTGCCTTGGGATCGAACTTCTGAAATGGACTCTTCCACTCTGTTGTGTCCTCTGTGTTTTTCCCAAATGGTCTAAGAACAAGGAGCTGTATGGTAATGCCAGATCCTGCTTCCAAGGAGGGATCATAGAAGTATCTGTCACAGTGTTTAACTCTAGAACTGTGGAGTTCCTAAAGAGTTTCCACATCACTCAATAGAAACCCTGCCTCTTAAAGCGCTCCCACCCCTCAAATTTTGAAACAGCCAGGTGTAATTTGTAGTTTATTAAAAGCTTCTGTGAAAGCTTTGGATCAATTCTTCTCTCTTCTTTATCAACCACTGATTAGACAATGCCATTTATTGCTATAGCAGCTTTCCCATTAAGTACTTAACTGATGGATGAGCCTGCAGACTGAGGGCATTTATGGGCTGTTCTCTCCAGTAGTACCACATTCCTTTATTGCTCATTTATTTCAATACAGCCAAAGCACAAACTGCAGTGGAGTATGAGTAATACATTCTATACTAAATCACTGTAGGAGGAAGAAGTTTTTCCTTTTTTTTTTTTAAATTATCTGGTCTGTAAATAAGAGTTTTATGAGAGATGGGAGGTAGGACTGTCAAAACAACCAGATTTTATGGCTCAATCCCAGTTCTACTGAAATCAGTGGATGCTCCCACAAGTACCATCATTTGTCTGTTTACCTGGAGGGTTTCCAATGCATTTAATTGAATGCTTCATTCCATAAACACATTCCTGCTAACAGGAAGGCCCCAAGGCAGGTTTACTGATGATTTTGCTGGAGGTTATTACATATGTAACAACATAAAAGCAAGATATATCCAGCTAGAATGAGGGGCCTCGGGATTACAGTTTTAAAGACTTTGAGTTGTGAGTCATACTTTTCCATTTTTAATTCAGTGTGTCAACATAAAATGATTTCTACTGGTCTGAAAGAGACAGTAACTCAGAGACTACTCCACAAACTGTTCGGCTGCTGCAGATGCAGGAGCTTCTCTAGGGGATCTGTGACCAACAGTCAACTGCAGCAGCCATTCACTTACCTAATTTTAATCTGCTGCTGCATCTGGGTCAGAACGTTTCAACTCGAGGTGTGGAATTACATACTCAAAAGGATTTCGGCTCCTAAGCTGTCTCCTACATTTTAAAGACCAGAGTTCAGCTGTTGCCGTCACTGCAGGTGGCTGAAATCTCCAGACATCTACATTAGTGACTGCTTAGCCTGGGTAGTGCCATGGATGTAGAGTACCTAAGATTCCTGAGGGTTCCCAAACTACTTAGCTCCCATCCAGGCAGTCTTTGAAGAGGAGCAGGTTAGCTCAGGATTACAGTGCCAAGAGGGGGAAGACAACCTTTCCCAATAATTTGTCACTACAACACTTGCCTGTATTGTAAGAAAACCTGGGATAGGTTTTCCTTTTCTGTTAAAGGAGATTTGAACCCAAAAATCCAGAGGACAGCAAGTGTTAATTATTTTTTCCCAACTTCCTTTATTGAATGTGCTGCATGTGTTGCATGAAATGTTTAAAAAACAAACTAACAAAAGATAATTCTTCATCAGGCCAGGGACTGGAACTTAGGCCTGACCTCTGATGAACAGCTTTCAAATATTGCTACGGTTCTTGTTCCTTTTCTCTGCACTATAAATGGGGTTACGATTGGACATAGCTTCAGCAGGAGTCTGTGGAGTTGTTCTTCTTTTAATTGCTACTGAATTTCATTATGGATTATCCACTGATAGCAGTTTAGCTTAAACTTTTGCCTTAGAATTACTGTATGTGCCTTTGACTCTTTACTTAGCTGAAGAGGGTTATAAATATATCATTTCCATTTGAAACCTTGCAGTTTGAGTGACAATGGCTGCTCTGCTGCAGTCTTCAGTGACTGACCAGTATTAGGATTGATGACTCCTTCATTTTCGGTGCTTGTAAATTCCCCAGTGTGATGGGGAGCTTTCCCATTTTTCTCAGCAGGGGTGGGACCAAAGGCTCAAATTTAATGTAGCTTTTACAGTACTGCCAGAGAGATTGATTATCCTGCGGTTCTGTCTGAGACATCCATCTTAGTATTTACAGTCAAGAAATTTTTGTACATGGTGAATCAACAGAGACTTCATCCCTTACACCATAACATTTCTCTATGCAAGACTATGGAACAACAGCATGAATCAGAACTTTAAATTCCCCCCAGACCAGCCTGGATGCTGAACCCTGGCCCTATGGCACGGATCAGGAGAAATCTAAACCATGATTAATCATAACAAACAATAAAGCTGTTTACAGACAATCAGCAAGCAACACTGCCTTTGTACAGTTAGCATTTTAGCTGTGTTGTTATATTTGGAAAAAAAGCAAGCAGTTAGAAAATGGATTGGTTAATAATTTTTTATGGCTACCAGTGGTGTTAGTAGCATTCCCCAGAGGGGATAGAACTCACGCTGGAGAAATCCATCAGGGGCTGTCTCCCGTGGGAGGGACCCCATGGAAACAGAGGAAGGACTCAGAAATGTCCCCCTGTAGCCCGTGGTGAAGACCACAGTGAAATAGGTGTCCCCTTATACTACCATGGAAGAGTAACCTCCAGGACAACAAAATGGGAAGAGTTGTGGTCCGGGCGAGGGACTGAAACAACAATGAACCCCCTTTTTTCCGTCTTCTGCATGGCTGGGAGAAGGAGAGGAGATCTGCAAAGAAGGAGGAGTGGGGGAAGGTGTTGTGTTTCAAGACTCTTTACTCTTTATTTACTCTTTATTTTTTACTCTTTAGCTCTTATTCTGTTAGTATTGAATTTAGCTTTTAGTTTGTTAGTAATAAATCTAAGTTTTATTCTCACTCTGAATTTGTTTTGCCTGTTAACACTGCCTCCTCCTAGTTCTTACCTCTACTCAAAAATCCTGGCTGGTTTTTTTTTTTCTTTCTCTCTCCTCTGCCCACTTGGAGAGGGAAGGGGTTGGGGGGAAGGCACATGCATCTGTGGGGTACTTTTTTTTTTTTTTGGAGGGGAAGGGGGTGGTATTTATGGTAGATAATACAAACTAAAAGCATTCCCAAACTCTCTTTCAGGGAGTTTCTCAGCTATCCCCATTGACAAATGTCAGTTTAGGAACAAACAATTCTCCCGAGACTGTTGCTTTAATATCTTAAATTTAGGAGCTAGACTTCATCTGATCTGTCTTCAGCTGTTAAAAAAGCCTATCTTCCTGTCTAAGATTAATCTTTAGACCTATTTCTGTATTCAGTGGGAAGTTAGCAACCCTAACCAGTGAGTGGGAAGAGTGTGGTTCATATTGGGAAGACTTTACACTTGGGGAACTTGGCTCTTGTTACTGACTACAGAAAGATCTAGATGAGAGGTCATTTAAAAAGCAAGTCTCTAGTCTAAGTTAAAATTACCTGAGCTGAAGCCCTCCTTGTTAATTGAATCCTGATGATTAACCCTTAAAGTAACATTCAGATTCGTAACAGTATGTTTGTGCAATAAATATGACAATTGTGTTCATAGCCAGGCAGCCAGAGCAGTAGAATCATCAGAAAATAATTAATCAGCTTCACATCCCAAAATACAACAGTATGTTGTATACAAAAGAACTCAAAACAAAACCCAAGCTTCTTTCCAGATAATGACTAGCTGTCATCAGGGAAAAAAAAAAGGGACTTTATTCTCATTTCCAAGGGATGAAATCTGGATCTGCTGGGGTTTTTGTTTCCATTGATCTTTTGAAAAGACTGAGGAAACATTTGTTCTCATGACACAATCTCCCCCATTAAACAGCATGCGCATGGCTCAGTCCCAGGGTACGAAGCATGCGCAGATCACATCACCCTCCATGAGAGTGGCTAGGACAGTGGTTCCCACCCACAGCTTCATACACTGTTGCCTGTCTCCTTCAGAATTCTCCAGCTGGTGTTAGCTACTCTTCCTCCCCTTGAAACAGTGGTCCTGGCACTCTTAACGTTCAATAAAATGTGATTCCCGACTTCCAACACAGTTCCAGGAACTGGGGAGATTCAAATGCATCCCAAACATACTGATAAAAATGCAGGGTAGTTTCTCTGACTACCCTGGATATGTTTCCATTGCTTGTCTTGCGTGCTATTGCATCCTCTCCCTCATGGGTTCCAAAACCTGTGTGTTTGAAATGGGGACCCAGGACAAGAATTCCTTAACTCTGTGGTAGATACATAAAGGGAGGAAGGTGGAAGCAGTGCAGACAGTTTCTTTCTTCCTAAAGAAAAATTCAGCTCTCAAATTCTTTTTCCCCAAGAGCAGTGGGAATTATTTTGGACCACCTGAGAGATTAATTTGGTGGGTGGACATACGAGAGATGTCTGGCTTCTGCAGCACATGTTTTACCCTTGCTCAGAATAAAGAGTGGGAACCACTGAACTAGAAATACTTTTCCAGAAACAGTCATGCAAAGAAACAATGCAGTTACATCCCATCATGCAAGCCAGATACTCTCCTCTCTGTCCTCTGCCTAGTATTGGAGTTTCATAAACAAATGGTACATGAATGAGGAGAAAAATAATAAACTAATGCTAACAGTGAATCAAACAGCCCTATGCCATGTGTTTACCACTTTCACCTAACAAGAAATGAAAATAACCTGGGAATTTTTCTATATTTTCCACAAGTTAGCTAATAACTGGATTCAGTTAATCTCAAGCAACTGGAAGCAAAAGGCAGTCATGTTTACTCCAATATTTTTACAGCTTATCAGCTGAACTTGTATGGGTGAACTTAGATTTGGAAAAACAAACATTCTGAATGAGATTTCCAGAAGTATTCTGATTTGAACTTTCCCTAATAGAAATTAGCACAAAACTCATGTTATGAAGACAGACATGAATCCTGCAGTGAACATGTTCAACTGATCTCAGAAAGTCTGTGAGTTTTCCTAAGATAAAATAAAGAACATTCTGCACTTCAAGGTACTTCTTAACTTTGGCCAATCAGCTTTCCCTTTTATTGAGTAACATTCTTTTCTGCAGAGAGCATCTCACAAAAATGTTTAATCTCAAAATAGTTGACCCCTAACAACCAAAACCAAAAAAATTTCTAATGTCTGAGGAGGAAACATCTTTTCTAACTCAACCAATTTCCATACTCTTAGGTGGTGTGTGTCCTCATTGGTATTTAAGGGTGAGTGTGACTTCAAATCCAAACTCATCTACCGCCCAGATTATCTACACAGAAACATGAACACAAATCCTAACTTGGACTCTGATGCCCTTCAGAAAGAGCCCTTGTGCACACTAAAGGCCTTTGCTTAGCCCCTTTTCTCACCTACACTTTCAAAAGTGACTGGGAATGGGTAAAAATAAACAATGTCACATAAATCTATGGGAAGAATAATCCAAATCCAATTCTTTGTTGAAACAGGATGGATATTTTTCACCAATGCATGCAGCCATTGTAGGTAGAAACCATATGGATGTTGACCCACTTTTTGCTTTGAAGTGAACATATCTCCATGTATCAACCACTAGAAAGCAAATCAAACTGCAAAATCAATGTCTTCTGACCATTTTGTACGGGCCAATCATCAATGAAAAAAATGGAGAGCTTCACTAGCTGCTCTCCAAAAGTTGAAGAGCTTAAGCTAGAAAAGCTGAGTTGTGTGTTGATGATTTCATGTTTGATGAATGAAGTGGGAATGAGAACAGTGAGCTGAAGTTGAATGACAGCGAAGTGTTTGTGTGGGATAGGATAAAGTGCTTGACAACTCAGTCAAAATATTATTTCTAATGATATTTCTTTCTTATTCCTGAAATGAGAAGGATTATCTCTATGACTCTTTAAAGGAAGATAAAGTTCTTGCCCCTCATCTTAGGTCACAGTTCAGGAAGATATTAAAGCATGTCACTAACTTTTTTCAGATGATCAAAAGCATCCACTTGTTTTCCATTTGCTGAACCAAAACCTGCAAATACACATGCAAAGATGCTCTTCCAGTGAACTCAAATTCCAAGTAACTTGCAAGAATTTGTGTTGGCAGGGTTGGGACTGCATAAGGAACAGTGTTTAGCTCTTACAGTGTATATTTTTTTACAGTAAATTTCAAAATGATTTGCAGAGTAGGTTAGTATCACTCCCATTCTATGAAAACAGAGAAAAGCACTTGTTTCTAAGCATATCATTGGGAGAGCCAGGGTTATATCCCATATTTTCTGAACAGCAGAACAATTAACTATTTGCAAGGTCATGCAAATTTCTTTTTATGCTTAATAACTTTTCAGTCTTATCACCCCTTACTTTTGATGGTGCTTAGGTGAACTATTGTAGTAAAAACAGAAAGTGCAGGCAGGGAATGGCATGCAAGAAATATGAAAAGAATAAGGCTCAACTGTTACTTGAATGTATATACCTAAGTTTTCTTGTGAGGCTTGATCCAAAGAATGACTCCCTACTAAACATGACATTACTGTAAAGTGAAGAAAAGTTATTGAGACGTTAATGATTACCCATGAAAAGCTCTATGAAAAATGGGAGCAGCCTTTCATTTGTAGTTAATGTAGTGTGGAGATCAGAGTGGCTTTTTTCTCCTTCCTGTTTTTAGGGCAGATGTATTAAGATGAAATGCTGACAGTGAAATTTTACACCTTGCAAAGTATGGCTTTATTTTCCTTTTGTTGTTAACACTGACAATACAAAAGTGCGCCACATTTTATGAATTCTTTCATTCATAATAGGTAGGACTGGTACTGATTATGCCACTTAAAAAAACAAGCCAACTTTCCAAAGGTAGATAATATTATTTATCTTGTAGAGATAAGGAAACAGGGATAAATGACTTTTCTGCAATCACATAATAATAGATCTAGGAATGATGTCTCTTGATGTCTAGTTCTACAGCTGGAAAATGAGGATTAGGAACAGGACCCTGGGAGAAAGTTCAAAACTCTTCACTAAAATGCCTGTCAATACAAGTGCTGAAGTTTCAACACCAGTCAAAATCAGATGAACAGCTGCCAACAACAGCACTGAAAAATAAGGCTCAATATTCATTACCCAAACTAAGACATAGAGTTGGGTCAGAATAAACAATATGTCCATCAAGCAAAGGCCCATCTTAAATGTAGGTCAGGCTACCAAATGTTTGCTGAATGATTTGCTGCACTCCAGCAGAAATGAGCATTAGTATCTCTTTCTCATAAATCTTCCTTATTGAGAACTGAAAAGATGAAAAAGCTTTGCAATACTGGCAGAAGAGCAATTGCTACCTGAGATTTCATGGGGACAGTAGGTTTAGGCATTGATTAAGGAAAAAAAAGCTGGAGGCCCCTCTGGCATAAAGTCAGTAAAATCCCCACCAGTGAGCCATGGATAGCACAGCCCCAGTTCCTCCTGGTTTGGGGGATTGTACAGACCCTGCAGGGAAAATGCTACTCTTAACAGAGCTGCATCACATGTACCACCTCCCTTCACTGCTTACAGGACCCAGTCCAGCTCCAGGGCAGTCAATTGTCCTCTTCCTCATATCTCATATCTTCACAGTTTTAGTTTAAAGGGAGCCTCAGTAAAGCCTTGAAGGAGCTGCTGCCAAACCTCAATTGGTTTTCTACTATGACAAGTCCTTCCTTGAAGCCTTGCCTTGGGATCGAACTTCTGAAAAGGACTCTTCCACTCTGTTGTGTCCTCTGTGTTTTTCCCAAATGGTCTAAGAACAAGGAGCTGTATGGTAATGCCAGATCCTGCTTCCAAGGAGGGATCATAGAAGGATCTGTCACAGTGTTTAACTCTAGAACTGTGGAGTTCCTAAAGAGTTTCCACATCACTCAATAGAAACCCTGCCTCTTAAAGCGCTCCCACCCCTCAAATTTTGAAACAGCCAGGTGTAATTTGTAGTTTATTAAAAGCTTCTGTGAAAGCTTTGGATCAATTCTTCTCTCTTTATCAACCACTGATTAGACAATGCCATTTATTGCTATAGCAGCTTTCCCATTAAGTACTTAACTGATGGATGAGCCTGCAGACTGAGGGCATTTATGGGCTGTTCTCTCCAGTAGTACCACATTCCTTTATTGCTCATTTATTTCAATACAGCCAAAGCACAAACTGCAGTGGAGTATGAGTAATACATTCTATACTAAATCACTGTAGGAGGAAGAAGTTTTTCCTTTTTTTTTTTTTAAATTATCTGGTCTGTAAATAAGAGTTTTATGAGAGATGGGAGGTAGGACTGTCAACACTTAATACCTTTCGACTAACAATGGGATGGGAGTATGGGGAAATATCTTGCCATTTATGAGTGAACTACATTAAATAAAAAATAAGCTGCTGAATTTTAGTCACAGCATAATATAGACTTCTCTGCCTATCGGTAGCAAAGCAACATGAATGCTGGAATGACAGGAATATTTTGTGATCAAATAAGTTAATGATGTAAACCAATACTCTCTTCATCAGAAGAGACAAGAACAGACGTATCAAAGGTCCCTCTTGTTCATCATCCTACTGCCTGATTTTTGTGGAATACATGCAAGACAATGTATTTAAAATGAGAATAGTTGAGTTAATCTTTCCAGAAATATTTTTCTACTTTCTGCATCTGAATTCAGACATCTTCAGTCACTGGTTTCTTAAGAACCAAACTTCCAAGAGTGTCTACCTCAACTGCCCAAACTTTTGGTGCTCTTTGCTTGCCCAACAGAACCATCCATTGGCAGCTCTGGTTCTGCCATTTTCTGAGGGACGCAGCTCTCACAGGCAGGACACTGCTGTCATGAGAGCCAGGTCTTTCACAGGCAGTTAGACCTGAAGAGATACTCCTCTAAAAGAGAGGGTTCCCAGGAGCCAGGAGCATAGACTGATTTCTGAAGGAGGTTTAAGCTCCTAAGGGCCTTTGTCTGACTGAAAATCAACCTGAAAATCAACGGGGATGTAAGTTCTGTTCTTTGGTTGTAGGGGCATCCCTACTCTGGTAATTTTACATGGGTAACATGCCTTTCACCCAAATACAGCAGCCCTTGCACTATAATCTCTAATATCAACATCTTATCTCTTCTTGGGTATGAAGTTTTTAAGAAGGGGATAAGATATTTTGGAGTCACTTACCAGCCCCCACCACAGTGCATCTGCATAGGTTTCAAACTCTTCTTTCATCTCCACTCCATTAGCATCTTTTTCAGGAACATCTTTTTCAACCAGATAAACAAGAAACGAGGATAAGATGAGCGTCAGGAACCCAATGTACCAAGCAGTGATGAGTTCCTGCAAAAGAAACAGATGGACATGAAGGGTCTGAAAACATCCTCAGTACTCAGAGTAGCAGAGTAAACATCAGGAGGAGAGAAAGTCACACAGGGTAACAGCAGAGCTGTCACTGCTGGCTTGGTCACAGACCCTGACCAGCCCAGCTCAGCACTCAGTGGGAAATAATGCAGAGATTTACAAGAATTAGCCCTTACATGGCATCTCCCTGGGGAGCAGCTTGGAGCAATCTGCAGTTGTAGTTCTGCATAAAGCTGGGCTAAGGATGTATCTGCACCCGTGACACAGCTGCTGCAGGGCTCTGTCCCTGACCTTGGCTCTTCACATCACTTCTACCCCTGGGCTTGGTCACTCTTAGCCAGCAAATCACAGCCCTGCCCTCTCCCTCCCTCCAGAGAGCCAGAGCTGCAGGATGGATTTGCTTCTCTCTAGCCATATCAAAGCAGATTCCATCACGAATGAATGATGTCTTCAACGTGAATTCATGCAGTAAGAACAGACCTTGAAAAGCATCTGTGTGAAAACAAAACCTGAGCCTCCCTGTTTTAGAGAGAGTGACTGGAGTGTGTGTCTAATCCCACTGAGGTGGGAGATGCAGTCACCTAAATTAAAATCCCAACAACATCTGAAACAAAGAAGAAAAATTTTTTGAGAAGTTCTTCAAAAGTGGCTAAAAAAATCAATATTCCAATTCCTTTTATGAGAACTTTATTGGAAGAAAAAAACAACAAAACATTGAAGCTGAGAACTTCATAATTGAATCTTCAGGTAAGCAAACCTCCTCAGCTAATTTCTGGTGAGCAATCACAGAAGAAAACTGTTATCACAATTGTTTCTTCATTATCTCCAATAAAGCAAAGTTCTTACAACCCCTTCTTATCTCTGAGCCAGCTGAGATCCAGAGGGTGGTGGTGGGCAACCAAACAAGCAACATGTAAATGAAATCCCACAAAATGAAGCCTTAAACAATTTCTTAACAATGTCTTTGGTACACAGACTTCTTCCATGATCTGTTTCCTGGGAAACATTTTTGACAGTGTTTATGTGCCACCTGCTTTGTAGCAAGTTTATACAGGGAAGAAACATAAGCTGGTAAGAAATGAAGCAGAATGGGTATCCCCATCAGCCTCTATGCAGAAGCAAACTCTAATTATGCTGTGCCAGCTGGCATTTTAATTTTCAAACCCCCCTAAAATGTCAGGAATGTCACTCATGGATAAGAAAAAGCAGTATGTAGCACAGAGCCTATGCAATATTTCTACACCCCGTGCAGATGAGAAATCTTATCTAGAGGATTATTATGCAGATAGTTTTTAACTTGTAATAATGTTTTGTGAAAATGCAAGAACAAATATCTGTCTGGTGCGAGACAGGGTGTGTCTGACTACAGCATCAAGTTAGACCAAACAAAGATGATTTTAGAAATTTTCCCTGTCTGGGTTCTCACTGTATTGTCTCATTCCTGTATTGTCTGACCCATCCTTCCACAGAAAAATTTTACCAATAACTTACTCATTCAGAAACCACATATCTGCTAATCAGCCTCTTGCCATCCCTCTGGAGTCCAGTCCTGCTCCATCTGTTGACCAGACAAGTCTGAGAAGCCACTACAAACATGTCGCAGCTTCACAGGCGTTTCTGTCAAAAATTTCAGCATCTTTCACCATTAAAGGGTTGTCCCTGCTTTCATTAAGGACAAAAGACAAAATCCCTGTTGTAATGTGTGGGAATGAACTCTCCCTTCCCAGCACCACTATTGAGTGGAGAAGGGTAAAACAAGCGGCAGAAATGGTTCAGAGAATGGAAGAGGGAATAAAACTTAAGGAACAAAACTATTTTTGGAACTACTAAACATAATTCCATGGCATTGCTGTACCTGTGCATCCCCTCTCTTTCCCTTCAGTCTTTCTCCCCAAGCCCCCAGCTGAGCCCTGCAAGCTCCTCACTTACTTTGCTATGTGCACAAATAGCTGATCCTAAAAGTTTCCAGGTGCCGCCCCGCCTGTCCATTCGGAGCATCCGTAGGATCTGAAGGAAGCGGAGGCTTCTGAGAGACGTGGCCAGAACATTGCCCTGGTTCCCAACAGCAACCACTGGCACTGAAGCGATCAGCACAAAGATATCTGCAAGGCGAGAAGAACAAAGCCTGCCAACGACAGTGGCCCTGTCACCTGCTTCTTAATCCCATCTGGTTGTGCTGCAAATTTCCCATGGCATATTTTGAAGCTGCCTGGAAATGCCTGCTCTTTCCAATTAAACAGCTATCTGCATCTGCCACACAGGCAGCATCACAGACAAAACCTCCCGGAAAGCCTCGGGATCTGTTTACAGATTGATGCACTGGACTTGAGATTCTGTCTGAGCTTGCTTAGGTATGCAGAGAAACAGTGTCCTAAGGCTGACAGAAAAACAGACTTTTATTCATCTGTACCACAGGAACACCACAGTGAACAGGTCAGCAGATGAGAAATTCAGTTTTGATCGTACACCCACTATTTGATTCTTTTGGCTGAGTTTTCCCATTAAAATCTCCAAGCCAGTGCTACTATTTTTTTGTAAGTGCTCACAGGACCAATTTGTTGATCAACTAAAGAGGTTTGAAATGCAAAACCACATCGCTTCTTGGTTTTTTTCTCTTTGTTTCCCTCTTGCTTTTGATCCTATACACATACAAGATGAAAGTGGTACCAAACAGCTTCAAACATTCTCTGGGCATAGATAAGTAATAATATAGAATTTATAGTAATATAATATAGTAATAATATAAATTGTCTTTATATTTCCAGCCAAAAGAGTGGATTTCAGATTTATTCACTTCCAATCATTCTCAAAAAAAATTTGCAGGAATGACAAATGAGAGATGATATTCATAAGTCCAGAATATTTTCTGTTCTTTACCCAGATATCAATGAAGATTCATTCTCAGAAGTGCGATGACAATTTTACCAAGAAGGCATGAGACAGGATCAATCCCATTTGCTCACACCACACTCTGCTGCCTTCACAATCCTATTAGAAGTATAAGATGTATCTATACAACAGTAGCACACAAAGGAGCACTACTAAATTGAGGATAGCACAGATGCACAAACAAAATTTGCTACAATCTTATATCTACCATTTAGACCCAAGAGATGAACAAAAGGGGGGAGAGGGAAGAGAGGTGTGTATTCATGTGGCCCCACAGCTCCCCAGAGTACTACATGCTGTACAAATAAAGAACAAAACTCTACTGTTTGGCCTGAACAGCACTGAAACATCCTAAAATCAGTGAATGAATGTGGATGTGCAAGACAGGTGCTTGGGGCAGAGTGAGCTCCTAAATACTGGCTGGTTGGTTTGTGGTTATGATGAGGAGTTGCAGGAGGGGATTCAAACATGAATAATGAGAAGTTTTATGGATAGTTATAGGCAGTGACTTCCAAGCCTGAATGATAACATAGGTGAAATCACAAAGATACTTGTTTGCAAATGCAGACTGACAATACAACGGTAAAACACAACACAAACATGAAAGAGAGATGAGGAAGATTGGGTAGGATTGTGATCTGAAGTCCTTTGAAACTGAAGGCAGAGAGAGTCTTTTTGGGGATGAGTTTCAGAAGAATGCAGCGGGACTCAGGAGAAGGGCAATGTGTTTGAAGAGTAGAAGGATTCATTTTTTTCTCACTGACTAGACACCCAAATGTCTCTCAAATTAATTGTTATTGCTGGCTACTTCAAAAAACTACTCCAAGCAGGACACAGGTCCTGGCATAAAGGGCAGATCTGATTTCAGTGCTCCTCGCACTGCCATTCATCAGTTCTTTGACATCCCCCAAACTGGCTTAGAAGGAAAAGAACAAAACAGAGAAAACAGTAGTAGAGAGCATGTGCCTACCCAGCATGCACAAAGGCTTCCTGGCAAATTTGAGTCTCCCCCTCCATCCTTTGTAGCGACAGCAACAGCCAGCAGCCCAGATTCTTAAGGCGAACTCTGCTCCGAAGATGAAAATGGCAAAAGTTTCCTGTATCAAGACACAAACTACATTGTTAGTCTCATGACAAGTTTTGCAGTAATTCTGGACACAAGGGTGTAGCTGAAGGAAATGAGGCACAAGTGTTAGGATATGTGTGAGAGAGAGAGGAGGAGAATACAGGTTGATGAAAGAGGCAAGGCAAAGTGGGACATGCCTTTCCAGCCTTCCAAGCAGTCTGCAGGAGGAATTTGCCCCTGCTGTTGGGTAAATGTGAAGTGCTTACCCTGCCTTAATGTAAGGGCAGCTACTTACACAGAAAGGCCTCTTGTTCCACGCAAAAGGGGGAGACATTTGCAAGTGGTGACTGCAAAGTCCCCGGTGCACTCTATACCCATAACCCAGGATGACCCACCAGCAGCTCATTCATGCAGCCACATCTACAGACACAGGGCAGGACACAGTATATTCATATACTTTCTAAGGGGCACTTTTCCTCATGCTCAAACCCACAGCTCCTGGGTGCTTCTGAAAACCGCTGAGAGCCACACACAAACAAGCACAGGAGGAAGAAAAACTACCTGAGGCTTTCTCAAAGGTGAAAGATGGGCTATAAGCAGGGTAACAGAGGCCAAAAGCAAGTTTCACATTCCCTAAGGGATGGGGGAACTTTATGAGAAGGAACATGCAAGGGGAATTCACTTTTCCTTCCTTTCGGCATTTAGCAGTTGCTCTGATCTACGTGCCTCTGGGGGTACAAGGGAAGGGTAAATTGAGACCCTAGAACTAATTTTGCTGGGGATACTTTATACAAGGCCAGGTTAGGCGAGATGTTGTGCTCTCTATTTCATGACAGCTATAGGAGCAGAGGAAGTTCACGGTTAAGGTCGTTTTCATAAAGCTTTGAATATGCCATGTTTATGCTGGGGGGGGGGGCAGGGGGGTGTCCTCTATTTTTTCACTCTTCTGCCAAACAGAAGGCCTAGAGAAATAAAGTCTTGAGCATGAACTTCAACATTTATAGAACCAGCATTCTGGAACACACAGAGAAAGGAATGTATTTGCTGCTAATACATTTTCTCTCAGAGGCACTGCCTGCAACAATTTCAGTTATGCTGCTATTGGGCACAAGCATGAGTCCAGTTCTGATGACCTCCCTTGAAAGAAATATTGGGATTAGTAGAATACTACAGAGTGAATCAAAATATTTGAAAGATCCTCCCAAAAATAGTTTTCAAATGTGCTTAGGTCTGGCATGGTCAGTAGCAAATTAACTGATAACTTGATGGAAGGACTGTTAGGCTAATGCTCAAAAGCCTTAGGCTGATATTTTTCCACTCATTTTCTTTTTACTCAGGAACCTCACTTTCTTTTTACTCAGTTGTTGTTGACAATGGATTGGGAACTCTTCAGTAGGTAAGTGCATGGTCACTGCCCCAGGACCAGTGGCAGAAATGTTATGGCATGCAGAGCTGGGAGTAAGTTTCCATCCCTGCAGATGGGGCTGATTTCAATTCAAGGGTGTTACCAGGGTGATGAACCAGCCACAGCCTACTTACCAGCAGGAGGAGCCAGTCTCCTGAAACAGTTTCATACTCCTTGAAAGTTGTCAGGACAGCTAAGATCAAACACCCCAAGACAATCAGGAACCTGGAATGAAATAAAAGAAAAAAAACACAGCATAGTTACCCCTCTCTGTATTTGCATTGGAGATATTACCTATAAAATCCATCAGAGCATGGCTGCTTCCTACTGGTGAGCAGACAGGTGGGCTTTCATGAAGATCAAGGATTCTCAACCAGGATGGAGTGGGGGAAACTGGCAGTGACGGCAAGATCCTAAGTCAGAATGTTCGTGGGACAGACATGTATTAATTAACTTATTTGCATTCTTCAAGAATGAGTGATACTGCATTTTTGGAAGGAATTGTATGATATAGCAGAGGACTGTATTGCTCAGGAGGTCTATTCCAAGCTGACATGCTCTGTGCTTCCCAGAATGGCACTGCAGTTACAGTGGAATGAATCTACTTGGCACTTCCTGAGACCTGGGAAACAGTAAACGCTTCTCTACAATGCAGCACCAGGACAAACCCTCTCTTGAAAACTGTACTGCATTTCTTTTTTCCTTTTTCTTTTTGCACTCATTTTCTATGCAGATGAAAAGATGAAAAGGATTGAAAGAGAAACAGGAGAGGGTAAATTTCTGCTCTCCAGTAAACACAGTGTGTGATAAATCAGTCTGTCTGAGAGGCTCCAGAACACAGAGATTTGACTGAAAATTTAACAGCCACTGCTGGTAAATTCAATTCAATCTTGTTGATCTGCTTTGTAAAGCTATTCCTGGGGTCAAGCTATTCAAAATCCTTTATACACAAAGAGGTAAAAAAATCAAGAGAGCCTCTAAGTCATTACTGTGAGGCAGAGTAGGCGAAGTTCATATTTTGGTACTCCATCTACCCAGATCATGGGCATTTTAATGTGCTTCCAAAATCTGATCCACAGGAACAGAGGTGCAGGTGGCCATGGAAATAACTTTGAGTTCCCTAAATAAATGGGAAGGATGTCTCCATAAAAGCTCTGGATCCCCTGCTCTCGTAGCTAGGGTACATCAAAGAAATGATAGGCATAAGCTGTGTTTAGTCTGTAGTACCTATTTTGAATTTCAATCTGATACCTGTAGTGCGATTTCATTTCTTGAGTAAAACTCCACTTTGTTTCACTGGGTGAAATGAGCAGAGCCACAGCCTGCAGGGTGGAGGCAGCGAGCAAGGGCTCAGCTCAGAGACACCTGTCCTCTAACCTGCCTTGGCTTTTCACTTCCTTCATGTATGAGAAAACCTAGGGCTAGAAAACGGTGTTCTGAGAATTTGCAACTTCTTTGCAGCTGGAGTAAAAGGACAGAGTTGAGCTCCAGATAACTCCTGCTGCCTTTTGGAGGGGGCAGGGGGCGGAATTTCCTCCAAACAGCATCCACTAGCACCCTCCATGCAAAGAAAAGACAACAGTGAAACATTTCACAGCAAACCCTGAAGGATTACTTTGCTGTGGCTTTCCTAAAATTAGCTGTTCTGACTGAATTTTCTTATGCCAGGAAAATTTCATATCAGCCATTTTGAGCAAGTTTAGAACAGAAATAAATGTGTTTTCTTGTGCTAAATAATTCTGGATTTCTTTGACAAGTTTCACCTTTTTCCACTCACCAGACATGCCCTGGGGCATGGGTTATGCAGTTGGTAAGAAACAGCCATTGGGTCCAGAATAGGTCTTTTTCCATTTACCTATAACCACATTCCCACTGCTTGAGACATTTGGCTCACCGGCTTGCCAAGACTCCCAATCCATCTATTCTGCACCTCCATGAGCAAACTAGTGAAACCTCAACCAAGACAACGATTCTTTTGATTATCTATAAGCTCTTGATCTGCCACATTACAGCCATTAAAGTGGTACCATCACTGACACTCCACTTAAAGCCTTGAGCAGCTGCCTCTTGATACTTTCCATTACAGACATTTCTTTATATCACGTGAAAATTCAGTCACCCATCAGCTCACAAGTATCATTTAAATGATTTAATGAAACGTGAAACACACTGAAAACAGTCCAAGGAAATTACATCATTGCATTACATCATTAGCTACTTAAACTAAAGGCGTGAATTTACCATATCATTCAACAGAACTCCATTGTCAATTAAAGATGATGTACAGATTTTTGTCCAAGAGGAAGACAGAAGACAAGTTAGTAGTGAAATCGTCATCTTCTGCCTAAAAATGCCTGCGGTTTTACCGCTAGAGGGTACCGGTGCTCCACAGAGCAAGGGGATACAGCTCGCTCTTGTTTTCCTTCCCCATGAAACAGGCCCAGTGCAGGTGATGTTCAGGTGATCGCACCCATGTATTTGATATGCAAGAAAAGCAGCCTCACGGTGGTGAAAGAGCTTTTCCTTGCTCGCTAAAAGTCCCAAATGTTGATATAAATGGACAAGGGGTGCTGCTTATTTGATTGCTACCTATGGCACAGCTCAAGCTGCAAAATCCAGTGCACCAAGTGAGAGCCCACCCATGAAAACAACAGATCATGCAGGACAAGAAACCAGTAAAAATAGGGTGAGAGAGTGAGATTGGAGATCACAATTCCCAATGAATAATTTTAAGGTCAAATCTGAGCAGGGAATATGGTCTGAAACCTCTGTTGCAGGATGCGCATGAATGCACCTCAGAGACGCAACTGCTGAATTTGCAGTACCCAAAAACCACACAGACCACAGAGCCAGGCTCCTGCCCCTTCCTGCAGCTGCAATCCATCTTGGAAGAGTCAGCTGTTCTCCTGCTGCACCATTTCCAAAGGCTAAATACCAACTGCAATCACCCACAAGTTAATCAACTCACATCTCAGAAATCCTCCCTGAGAATCTGCAATTGCAACTGTGGTTCAGAGCACTCTGTGAATTTTAATTTGCATTGATGCTATGCAACCAAGCCTCTTCTGTTTTGGATCTTGGTGTTTGTGAAGCCTGCAAGTCTTCTTGTGTCCTCTTTCTATGCAAGATGTTACACAGATGTTGTCTTTTCTTCATCAGTCCCCCTTGCTCAGCAAAGATGATAACAAGGTACATCTTCCCCTTGCTGCTTCTGCCCATATTGTGGGATTCATGGGACATAGGCACCAAGGGTTAGAAGAAAGAAACAGGGTAAAAAACAAAGTTTGAAATGAAAATTGAGTTCTATTAAGCCTAAGCTCACTGTTAAACAGTGTTTCAGCAGGTGGCAGTCCAGACTTCAAGACTGTAAATCACATATACCAAATACCTGAATGTGATCCTTCAGCTTTTTAGAATCATCCTTGTTATTATTTTACATTATTTTTCACAGCGCATTACATTATCCCTGTTCACAGCATTATGCCTAAAATCTAAATACTTTGTTGCATGCATAAGTTCCAGACCACCAAATGGCAGAGCTCTTTTGTCACTGTCACAACTAATGTGTTATTCTAGTAAACATGCTTAGTTTTAGAAATCACTTACTTAATGCTCATATTTTCTAATTATGATATTTTGGTGTATTAAAAACAGTATTCCAAAAACAATATATAATTTTTCAGAAAAGAAGAGGCAGTTTATGACTATGCATGAGCTGAATCTAATGTTTCTTGCAGGAGCTTCACAGACTGTTTCATTTGGTAAATTTTTACTTGTTTTAATATTTCCCATTTTTTTGAGTTTTTCTTTTCTATCTGCTTTCATTTGGAGCCAACAGAACATAGAGAACCTGTGAAGTTTTATATATATACACAGGTGCTTATCATGTTTCCTTTTCACCATCTCTTTCTTCAAAACTGTAGGGGCAGATCACATCATAATTTGCCTGTCATCTATTCCAGGCTCTGAGCAGGAAAGCCTCTTGAACAGTTACAAGTAAGAAATCCCCTGCAGTGTGACAATGCAGACTTCTGTTTGCTCTCACTTCTTCAGTACCATTTCTTGCAAGCCACTCGGATTTCTTCTGCCTCCAAATGTTCACATGGATCTTAGCTTTTTCTGCTTTGCTTCATTTCAAACTTTTATATCTTCCCTTAAAGCCTGTGCTCTGGTTTCATTATGTTCTGCCACCTGGTAAATGCTAATGGAATTCTCTAAGATTGTGATATATAAGGAAAATCTGGCAATGTTTTGCTAAATTTTTGGTTTAGGGTACTCAAAGCAATATGGTTCTAAACCATGATTCCCACACACTTTCCCAAATTTCATATTGGAACAAGCTTATTTTCTTCAACTATTGGCTTTTACCCATAAGGATTAAAAATGCATCTTTTCTCACAGTTTTTTCAGTTGCTCTATATTCCTACCCACCATCTTTTTCTCTTCATCCAAGCTTCATTTTTCACAGAACATCTGCAGTATCTTGCACTGATCGTTTTATGATTGCTAATGAGAGGCTTGAGTTGGGATTTTTAACACTAAAAAAAAAAAAAATGACATTACCAAATATTTGAGAACAGCTCTTCAGAGAGAAGGGAATGTGTGCCTGATTTCCACAGACTTGGGAATATTCACTGTTTAATATTCAGATTCTTGAATCTCTGCTCTTCCAAGCAGTAGGACAGAGATCAGTACTGAGATAAGAGTGACAGAAAAAATGCAAACACTTTGTGAGGCTACAGAAGTGCAGGACATGCAGGGAAAAGCACTGAGAAACTTAGTGGAGGTCCTGGAGAAGGGAAAAAGCAGCAAGTCCTACAGGCAGGGATGTTCAAAGATTCCTCTTTCTCTGCATCCCCAGATTCCACTGAGTACACAAAGTTCCATGCAGGAGTCCCTGTTCCAATGCCATCATAGAGCAAGGACAGGGTACCAATGCCACACTCAGTAAGATGAATTACACTCTTGTTCTGCTGCAGTGGTAGAGGCAAAGCAAGTTCCTCCACAAAATGCTGAAGGAAACTCTAAGAAGTAAAGATCCCCAAAAGTTCCCTAGTCTCACTGGCATACAAGTTGATCTGACAGGTGATGCGGTGGTAGCCCAGAATGACACTAGTCCCTTGGTGACAGAAATGACAGACATTGTCCCTTGCATGGTAGGAAGCTGAGTAAGAAAAGCCCAAACCCTTACTCATGCCAGGTTTTTGATGACCTTGTGTTCTCGT